CTATCAAATACCAATGGACTCAGATAGTGGTGGGATTCATACCCACCTTGAGTTCTCTGTGCTGAGACTTTGACTGGCTGGAGCTTGCACAGGTCTTGTGCGTGTTGTTACAGTCACTGTGAGTTCATGTATGCATCCGCCCTGTTTTGCCTGGAAAACTCTAATAAAGTGTACAGTCTTCCTATGTTGGACTCAACCCAACACAGAACTCATTCTCTCCTACTTTTCTCCTCTGGAAAAAGTTAGAAATCGGTCTGACTTCAACCATCACCAATCTCTGGCTCCCACCGAATCTGTTCTTTCCTCTTATTTCTCCGCTCTTCCCTAGCCCCTCGCCACATCAAACGCTCTCTGGTTACTCTGTACATTGATGCATTCTCCTTAGAAAAAAAAAAACTCAGCACACATTTGCGAGCACCTATAAGACACAAAACCCTCTCTTGAGCTCCAAGAGAGATTGCGTGAAGAGCCGGCGGCAGCTTCCCATATGCCCACACTCCAGTGCAGGGCATAAGTACCACAAGGCCAAGTGAAAGACAAAAGCAGTAAGAATGACTCACTGGGGCCAACACTGAGGATGGAGATTTTCTCTGCAAGGATGGTACAAAGGTAGGGGGACAGACACTTGCACCTTTCTCTACTACAGTGAGAATAGCAACTTACTTCTTGGTTTTAAAAAAAAAAAAAGCATTATAGGGATTCTGTAGTTCCATTATCATCCCCTTTTCCCAAACATTATTATTTAACCAAACAGGAACATATCTCATATCCTCCATTTTTCCATATATGATGATGGCTGGTACCCAGAGACTAGCTGACCAGCACAGGCTCTCATTTCCAGATCCTTTTTGCTAAATGAAAACTAGTGGCACAGTAAGATGTCACAAAGAAAAAGTCCTCTTGGAAAGGAAGCACTCCATTTGTTACTTTACATGTAAATAACCTCGACTTTGTCATGTTTGGGCAAAATTATTAACGTTCATTATTTGCACTGTCGCATGCATCTATATGATTTAAAACATACCTGAAAACATTCTTATGAGTTGCCAAGCAAAACCTAAGTCTCTGGCTTCCAGAAATGAGCCTACTCAAAAAAGAAAACATAATTTTAAAGTGAATTTTCTCAGAAGTTCACTCAAAGTTACAAGAAAAACAAAGACAGTCATGTTTCTCTTTCCCACAGTAAAGATGTTTTCCATGTAACTTTTTTTTTAATTGGGGATACTTTTCTTTATTTTACAAAAGTTAATAATATATACAAATAAGACTTGTGGGTTCACATGAAAAATGAGGAGTCCTGAGGTTCTGACACACCTGCACTTTGGGTTCTTGTTTTAATCAGAGTCTCCTGAGGAAGCTGCCCTGGACTTCTCAGGAATGGCTAAGAGCAAGTAGTGTTAGTCCCTCTGATAAACCTTGCTCCAGGAGAGACAGAGTTTCTGCTCTCTTCAACAACTCTCTCTCTCATTCTTTCTCTCTCTCTCTGTCTGTCTCTCTGTGTGTGTGTCTCTCTCTCACACACAAAGAAGATTACAATTACAATTACAAAAATTACAAAACAAAAATATATTAGCTTTCTCTTCCTCCTTTTTTTTCAGTTCTGTGCCTAAAGGGTAAGTTTTATGGTTTGCACCTATGATTTTGTCATGTTTGGGCAAAATAATTAATGTTTATCATTTGTACAGTTGTATGCATCTATATAATTTATAACATACCTGAAACCATACCTTCGAGTTTCCAAGCAAAACCCTAAATCCTCTGGCTTCCAGAAATGAGCCTACTCAGAGGGAAAACAGAAATTTAAAGGGAATTTTCCCCTCACAAGCTCATTGGGTTTGAATATTTGGTCCCTAGCTGATGGCACCGTTTGGCAAAGTTGGTCCAAGTGACCTGTATAAACGGGTTGTTTTGGAGCAGGCCTTAGAAAGTGAAGTCCACTTCCGCTTCCCACCAGCGCTCATCGCTTCCTGATCCCTACATCTGTGTGAGTAGCTTGGCCAAACCAGTTCATGAGGTCGTTCTACATGCCTACTCCATCAGGATGACTGTTCCTTTTGAAAACGTGAGCCAAAAAGAACTTCCCCCTCCAAAGCTGCTTCTACCCCACATCATGTCTATGCAGTGAAAAAAGTAGCTCATATAGGAGGCTTTTTTATTCTACTTAAAAAAAAGTTACCTTTTAAAAGTGTGTGTGTGTGTGTGTGTGTGTATGTGTACATGTGTACATGAGTGTACATAGTCTCTGTGGAGCCAGGATTACAAGAGGATGTTAGCCACCCCATGTGAGTTGTGGGAATAGAATTCTGATCCTCTGCAAGAGGATCCTTGACCACTGAGCCATCTCTCCAGTCCCCATAAATGGTTCTTTTAAATGTTTACGTGAGTGTTTACGTGGGATAATATTCACAATAGTTTAGAAGTTGTTGTTCTGGTGAAAGTCTGTACGAAATGATAGGCTTTAAGGGGAAAATGTTGTAAACAGCAGGCCCTGGGAGGAAAATGCTCCTGGCAGTCTTTGAACTTTCAATAGTGTTTGTACAGGCGACTCCTTGTTTTTCTTCTCCCTGAAAAATTACAAACAGTAACTGTTATGATGAGTTCGACAGAAAAAGACAATCTCCATGCCACCGCCGCCTGACAAATGGCAGCACCTCACTTGGTGTCTGCCACGCGTAAGCAAACCCCCAACATATAATCCTCCCACAAAGAAGCCCTCTGGGACCATGGTGCTTTCTTGGGGTCACCCTCTCTGCCCTTGGAGCCCTCCCTCCCTCCCAACTCCTTGCAGTGAGTGCCAGAGAGTCACAGGGTGAGGCGTGGGAGAGGAGATAACCTCCTCCCTGGCCCCACAAGCACGCTGAGGAATCCCAGGGTGGCAAGTTGCTTAGGGTGGCTTCTATCCCGTCACCACTTGTTCTGGATCGTCTCTCCACAACTTAAAGAAAGGAAAAAAAAAAAAAAAAAGCCAAGGCCTTCTGTCTTTTATAATGCTCTGTTTTAAAAGAGAGAAATCTTTCGAGAGAGACCAGGACCCTAAAAAAAGGCCAAGGCCTGGAATTTCTCCTTTCTCTCTTTCCATTTTGAACAGGAAACGTTCCTGCTAAGAAAGTCCAGAGGGAGTGTGCTTGTATGTTCATTTTAAGGCAGATAATGTTTGTGTGTTGCAAATGTCAGTGATTTATCCTAAGGACTTAAAATGAGTGCGGAGAAACCACATGTTTCACTTCATGCAGAGAAATAGCTCTGGTAGCTTTTGAAAGGTAACACAGGTTAAAGATTTTTTTTTTTTTTAACGTTTCTGTAATCTCCAGCTTGAGCCAAAGTAAACAGAAATGAGCATAATGGTTAAGAGGAGAGGTCTTTAAATTTTTTTTTTTAAATAAAAGACACAATGAGAGCTAGAAAATTTTCTAAATAAAAAATGAAATTGTCAAAGGAAAGGGATGGTGAAACCTGGGTCCTTTATTTTGCAGGGCCACAGCGACAGATGATGGCGATGTGTGCCTGCTCTATTTGTCATGGGCAATTTAGCATAAGAGCGAAGCGGCCCGAACTGAATAATAACAGCTGATGCTATAAATAACTTGTACGCAAACAATTTAATTTTTATCTGAAAACTATCACTAACTAAATTACCCCAAAATTCATGGATCTATCGCTCATTATTATACATAGCAAAATCGCGCGCGCACACACACACACACAGATAAATGTAGATGGAGGAGCGTATCGTTCATCCTTATGGCTGCACTCACAGGCAGCTTTCCACATGCTCCCCGAGCCCAGAGCTTGTCAAATCTTCATTGATTTCGGGAACGTACAGGGCTGTTTTAACCTCCACCTCCACAGATTGCAGGGTGATTCTGACCCTCATTGACAGTGCCTGATTAACCACAGGCACGGTGTTCTTAGAGCCCTGTCATTTCTTTCAAGTGCCCAAGCTGTCTGTACTCTGACACTGGAGAGCTTTTCGGTAATCATTATTGTTGCTGCTTCTCCTTTAAAAAAAAAAAAAATCTTAAGGAGCTGAGGAATAAAGAATGGAGGGATCTGGTGACATGGTAAATGGTGCTGGCGAGTATGTGCACAGAAGGTTTATGGGATTTTAAGAGCTGCAAAGAGAAGTCATGTGTCTCACCCCAGGCTAGCCAAGATGCCATCATCTGCACATTGTCTAGCGACGAACTGTTTCTGTTATGGAGGGCAGATCAAACGGTGCTTGTCTTCAGTAGAAAGTCCCAGACAGACTCGTTTCCCCTTAGTGTGTGTTCTTGCCCGGACCTTTCTACGCGCCTGCCCGTTGCACAGGGCACCTTGGGTTTTGCTACTGATTTTGTGATAGACTCAATCACTTTTATCACAGTTCCAGGTGGGTCATTTCCCAGCTGAGAGTTTTTGCGGGAACAGTCGAGGGGAGGCCTAGTAATCCATCCAGGGGTGTGACAGCGGCCACCCAGACTTAGCCGAGGCCACACACGTGGGCACTCCTGCCATCTAGGAGTGAAATGAGTTTAGGAGGACTCTGACCTGGAGGTTTTGTGCTACCACATCTCCTACAGACTGGGCCTCTAACAGTCACAGGCTTAACAGAGCCAAACTTACCACTTTGTAGAGGAAGCTGGTTTGATGGCTGTAATAAAAGCAAAGGTACAAGGGTATAAAGCAATGGAGGAATGTGTTTCTCCTCGTGTAGCAATGTGACGTAAGCAGTCCTAGGTGGCGCGGTGCAGGAGCTTGTGGTGTCAAGGTCCTGAGTTCTTGCATTCTGGTTGTCTGCCTTCGGCTCAATATACTGGGTTTTCGCCTTGAAGTCTAAGAGGGCAAAGAAGAAAAGGGTCCCCTCCCCCCGTTGCTTAAGGGTGTGCATCACATCTGCTCATATACCTTTGTCCAGGCTTAGGATGTGGTCACAGCCAACTGCAATCAAGGGCAGAAGCGTGTGGACTCCAGCTGAGAGCAGCTCCATGGCTCCTGACACACATCTCTGCTTTCCTTTCTAGGGGAGGCTCAGCAGATCCTGCGGACTGCCTGACAGCAGCACCCAGGGGCCGCTACAATGAAAGAGAGATTCCGTACTACCCGGGAGCTCATTTTGTACATCCCCCAAGAGGAGGCTACCCCCGGCCTCCAGAGCTGAGGGTGGCAGAGCTACGCTATCCGCAGTACTACCCACCTCCACCAGCCCATCAGCACAAAGGACCCTTCAGACAAGATGTTCCGCCTTCACCACCTCAGCACCAGAGAGTTCCAGCCTATCAGGAGATGGGCAGAGCAGGGCCCCGAGGGGGCAGCCCTGACCGGTACCCCTACCGTAACCAGGATCCCAGGCAGAAGAACCCCATGACTGCAGCAGTATAGCTAAACATCCCAGAGATCTGCCAAGCAAGGAGGATAGCCAACGCCATCTTTGCCCTTGCTATACCCTAAGGCCTTCTCCAGGTTAAAGTGTTCCATGGTACAGAGTGGCTCTTGTTCCCCGAGGCTGCAACGCTTAACTGCTAATCAGGGCGGGCACAAGGGTCAGGGAAAGGGGGATGTGGATCCAAAAAGGAAGAAGGCTACGGTCATAAAAGCAATACTTCCTGATACTTGAAAGGCTTGAAGAATTGGTTGATTCAGTGAGAGTGTCAGTTCACAATCAGTGCAGATACACTATAGTAACCCTGGCTACAAAACCCCCCACCCCAACACTACACACATAGCAAAGGCAGTAGTACAGGCTTGGAGGTCTCTGCCAGGCCTAGACACACATTCAGAGACTCAGTCTCAGGCCCATTCTTGGAGCTGAAAGGGGTACAGAGCGGCAGAGTAGAGAGGCTGCAATCATGGACATCTTCATAAGCACAATATTTTCGCTGACCACAAAGCAGCAGTGAACACAGCCAGTGACCTCTGGGAAACTTTAGACCCAAAGGAAGACTACATCTCCTTATTTATCGTCTATCTTGGGTTCCTGGTACTACTTGTTTGATACAAATGTTTGATACTTCCTTGCTTTTTGATATTAAAGTCAGTAGAATTTGAATGCAGTATTAAGCGTCCTGGGAAGAAGTGCAAAGCTGGTCAGAGCTTCCAGAAGGAATTCATCCCAGGAACCACAGTGAGCAGGTGAAGAAGGTTGACTGTCCTGTGGTCCTTGCTTTCCTCTCTCCCAGACCCTGGCATGCTTGCTTGAAGATCGCTCCTTTCAGAGTCCGCCTCAGATGCCTATAATTATTTTAACTGAGACCTCTACTTTTAGACTTCCACTTAAAGGCTAAAGTATACATGTGAGTGGGATGGGCAAAGAAAAGAGAGTCTGCTGGTCAGGCCACATGGAAAGCAATGTCCTAGGAATGTCAGTTCTAGAGTCAGTGCCAAACAGTCTGCCCCTGGGTCAGAGAGGAAACGGGTCAACAACAAGTAGGTAGAAGTGTGTGTGTGTGTGTGTGTGTGTGTGTGTGTGTGTGTGTGTGTGTG